AAGTGATTGATAGATTTATACGGGACGATGCACTGGGAAGCAATCCCTCGTTCTGTAGAGTCTGGTGGGGGTCCTTGAAAACTCACTGGAAGTGCGGGAGGTGGCAGTTGGCTGCTTCCTTGATATAGAGGGAGCTTTTAACAACACCCCATATCATGTCATCTGTGAGTCGTTGCACAAACGAGGGATTGATGCGACGACTAGCAAATGGGTTAATCGGATGCTACAGGATGGGATTATTAAGTCCACCATAGCTGACCATATACTCTTCATCTCCGCTGCAAAAGAGGTTTTCTCGCCCCTCCTGTGGTCCATTGTAGTGGATGATCTAATCGCTGGTCTCAGGGGCTCCGGGGCACGTGTCTGGGGATACGCCGACGATGTCGCCTTCGTCGTACGGTGAAAAAAAAAATTAAAATGTTTTCAATTCGGAAATTTGATAAAAAAATTATTAAAAATTTTTAATTTTATGTAAAATTACAAAACATTGACAAAAATGTTTTTTCTTTTTTTGAATTTGAATTTTGAATGTAATCATTAATTTCACTCTGTGTGTCCGTCTTTCTGTTCTATCACAAAACATCAAATCCTCTCGACAATAATTTTTGAAAATTAACTTTTATCTCAAATCAAGTTCTTCCACATCACTCCCAAATTACAAATATTCTATTTTCAATTTTTATTATATTGTATATATATACATATTATATATGTATATATTCAATGATACTTAAAATCAATTTATGTTATTATTATTATAAAAAATTGGTCAAAGCAAAATTATTACACTTAAAAACTATAAAATATTAAGTAGCATTTTATAAAACACTTGAATATTTTTTATTATACTCTATACACACTCCTCATAACATGTCTATATAAATTAATTTATTAAAAGTGCAATTAAGGAAAAAAAAACAACCTAAAAACACTTTATTAAAATTTCCTCCAGTTTTCCTTTTTTTTTTAAATTGCATTCATTATCTATATTTAAAATGTCATTGTCATTAAATAAATGATCAATTTATTTTGGGTAATTATTAGAATTTTTCATATACCATAAATCATTTTGAGCACAGACAAATAAACATCATTCCCTGGCATTAATAAAATCTCTCATTACCAATATAATAAATTTAATGAAGATTTCTAATTTTCCCTTTTTTTTTTGGTTATAATCTTAACCTTTTTTAGATTTATTAATTCTATATTATAGCTTAATATTAATTAAATTACCATTTAAAATATTATTAGTAGCTACCTTCAATTTTTTTTTCTACACGATTTTACCTATACGATTTTATACCTATACGAACATTAATAATTTTTTTTTTTTCAACACTATTTAGCATACATGCCTAAAAATGCATGTCAAATACTTGAAAATGAGGTTTTATTGATAGTACAGTGTGGCCTCTTTAAAATTAAATCGTGCAAGAAGAGAGAAAAAAAAAGGAATTGAAAAACAAAAACGACAGCGACTTTTTTACATCAAATATAATATTTTTATCTATAGAAAATAGAGAGAAAAAAAAAAAACATAGAATTTGTTCTTTTCTTCTCTTCTCAAAACCCCCTTCTCTCTTTTAAATTTCGTTTTTTTTTTTTGCATGTTTCTGCTCCGCTCCCTTCTCTTTTATACGCTCATTCATTTATATATGCTTATACTCTATATTCAACGAACCATCGCATGCTTTTATTCACATGAAAGAATGATTGATGAAAATTGTCTATCTCTTTCACATCCGCTGTCAGATTAGATAAATAATTTCATGAATTTATTTGGTTTTTTCTCCTTTATTCGTTCTAAAGCAAAAAAAAAAAATGAGAAAAAACAAAATTTCTATACAAAAAATTCTCTATATAAAAGTTTGCCTTTAATTTTAAATTAAAAAAAAAAATTAGGAAAAAAAAGTTACGGTTATTAATAACGGTATAAAGAATATAAGGATAATACAAAAAAAAAAATAACAAAACTAGGAAAATAGCAAAAAAAGTAGTAAAACTGACTGTGAAGAATTGAAAGAGTTTTATTCATCTATCGATGTAGAAAACACTGAATTTCACAAAAAAAAAAAAATAGAAAGTTTTGGTAAAAAAAACTGCTTTTGAAATTCGTTGTCAAATTTTTGTGACATTATTTATTTTAAATTCTATCTGGTCCTATGTGTCAAAGGATAAAAATAACAAGAATATGAAAAAAAATAAATATTTAAACTTCAACTTTTTTGACAATATTGCAACACTAGACATCATTTAAAATATTTATTTTTTATCGTAAAAAATACTCTTGACAACAAACTATATTCATCAAGGAATAAAATTTAAACATAGAAATGTGATGAGGCTTGTCTTTCCTAAATAAAGTACCTAAAGTCTATGTCATTTCTATTTGTCATTTGTAGGTTTGTGTATACATTCTGTAATAATAACGTAATAATAACGTAATAATGAAATGATAATTACAAATAAACAATTAATTAACACAATAGATTAACAAAAAAACCCTTACAATATTTAATGACTTTCAGAATATTGACAGAGGTATAGAGTTTTTAGAATTTTGAACCTCTTACAATTAGAAGCTTGACTCGATATTAGAAATATTTTACATGAAAGTCTATTTTCAATTGGATGAGTATAAGTACTCTTTTGTAAAAAGAAAACAGCACCCTTCCGCTTCGATTGTCTCATTTTGCTGGAGAAATCGTCATGATAGGGTAACGACTATTACCCTTCTATACTTGTAAATGCAAATTGCCTTATACGATTGCCAAACAAATGAATGATGTAGACCAAAGAGAAAAGTCAAAGCGTAAAAATTAAAAAATGTTCTCTTCAAAGTCGACTGAAATAAGTGATCTAATGCCTTCTGGTCGAATTCTTTGCCGACATCAACTAAATTGCTGAAGCAAAGGTATAGAAGGAATTGTTTTTCGAATTATTCTTCAATACACCATTTCTTTGATAAATTTCTTGATGCAACACAAATAAAACTTAAGGTTCAGTTCAAATTTTGTAAATTCAATTTGAAACATTCAAAAAACCAAACATTTTTATATATTTATAAAATTTAATAAGTAAATTGAAAAAACCGTTCTGTTGTTAATTATATTTGAACAAATTTTGAATTAATTTTTTCATTGTTTATTATATTAAAACAATGTCAGAAATTGGAAAACAAAAATAATTTACATAATTCCGGCCCTCCCTCTCCTACCTCATTCTATCTCTTATTCATTTTTACTTCTAGAAACTTAATAAATTTACATAAATTTTATCTTATTATTTACAGTAAATTTTATTCAATAAGTAATATATATAGATTATATATATTTAACTCTTACATAAGTTATACTAACTTAAAATTAACCCTTTATTTTATTGATAACTTATAAAATAACAAAGAAGGGAATATAAACAGAAACCCAAGTTATAAAATAAGAAAAACAAAAGCAAATTCTTAAACTTAATAATAAAACCAAAAAATATCCAAGGTAAATATAAAAATGACTAAAGGTATATGTAGGTAGATCCTTTATTTAATATATTATTGTAGTGATTTTGATTAGATAAACATTGATTAATTTTGATAAGTCTTTTTTTCATTGATTTTCACCTTGATTTTATATAAGGTAAAATAAACAATAAATAAAATAAAAAGTATGTATTGACCGTCCTTAGTTTATTTTATACAATTTAATTAATATATATGCAAGGTGTCCGAGACTCGGTTAGATATTCCCAGAGCAGGATGAGAAAATTTGTTCAGAGAAAAAGATTATTCAAGATATTTTTCTTTTTCACCCACACCCTCTCTCTATGCCTATAAAGTATAAAATCTTTTTGAAAAGCATTATTATTTTTAAATTTAATATCCGTACAACTCGGGATGCTAAATGCTACGTTTGGTCCGTCTTAACTGTATGGCGTGAAATTTTGGATACTGAAGACTTCACATATGAATTAAATTGAAGCTTTTGAAATGTATGCTGCTTTTAAGATATACAGAAGAATGCAAAGGATATCCTGGATAGACCAGATTTCTAACACCGAAGTTCTAAGACATATGGGTACAGAAAGAACAATGCTTCAGCTTGTTAGAAAAAGAAAAACTGCGTATTTTGAACATCTGATACGCAATAACAAACATGAACTTATACAATCGATAGTTCACAGAAGAATCGAAGGAAAAAGAGAAGTAGGTAGGAAACAATTATCATGAGCAAGAAATATTAGGAATTGGATAAAAATCAGTTGAATTGTGGAGTTAAACCATTTAGCAAGTAATCGAGATCAATTCAGCAATATCGTTGCAGGACTCTGAATACAAAAAAAAAAATTAAGCATGTGATCGCTTTATATCCAACAATTGGATAATGGCAGCAGAGAGAGAGAGAGAGACAACCCGGGAATAGTGATTGAAATATAAGTTTTTCTTTTATACTGGGTGTTGAAAATCATCGACAGATAAAAATCTGATCCGGTCATAACTTTCTAAAACTAGAATCAAACTAGCCATTAGTTTTGCTCTATTGTGTTTTTGTGTCTATGTTCCGTAAGAGAAGTGCCGTTTCATAGCACAGTTCCTTATTTCTTCATTTAATTCGGGGAAACTCAAATCCCTATGCATATCACTATTGAGTACATACCAGGTTACACTCTTTGTTTGTTTTCAATCCATTGTATTACCTCACTTAGTGTGGATCAGATACTCGGCAGTATATTATACCCCTTAAATGTATTATGGACATGGAGCATAAAAATATCAAAAAAAACCTAAATTATGTTATAAAACAATTTATTTAAAATAACAAAACAAAAACAAAATTTTTAATTGAATTGTATCCTTGGAATTTGTTTTTCTAAGAAAACAATAAAAAAATAATAAAACAAAGCATAGTTGTCCTTCAATTATAATTTTTCAAACTAAATTTAAAATTATATATTATTGTCCCTTGTTTTTTAATAAATAGAACCTTTTTATATACAAAATAATTTTAAATATTTGAGTACTCTGCAGCATTCACTCCTTTATCAATTGTGCCTGTACTTGTTGATATTGTGAATAAAAAATAGATAATTTTTCAAGAAATTTTATTTTCAACAATTTAAAATATTTGAATTCCTCGTAAAATAAAAAAAAAAAGAAATTTTAAAACTTAAATGTATTGTTGGATTCAGGGAATTGCCATTAAACAAATTCATAATGATTTTTCTCAAAATTTTTATTCATAAAATATTCAAATTCCTCCAAAAAATTAAAAAAAAAAACACTGCAGAAATTCACTTTAAACCGCATTAAAATTTTTCATAATAATTTCAGCTTATCTTAATAATTCCATTAAAAATTTTATTAAGATTTAACAGTCTACAATATTAAACGTTTCCATAACATTAAAAGTACAGCAGCAAGCAGTACAGCAGAAGTCTTTCAGCATCCCGACTACAATTTACAAATTTGTTAATAGCCATTCATTCAACCTATATTTTTTTTTTAGATTTGATTAAAAACACGCACTCAAATATTATTAAAATAAATAAGATTTTTGAAGTATTTAAATATTGCATATCTTAAGGCGTTGAAAAAAAATTTCATGAATAAATAAATTTTGAGAGCAAAAAACAAAAAATAAATAAACTATTGTTATTGTTATTGAATAAATGGCATAAGCAAAACAAAGTTATTAACTCAAACATTATTTTGTACATACATACATATGTACATAGACACACATTACGCACAAACCAAAATAAAAATCTTAATGTACAAATGTTTATGTGTTTGAATAAAATTTTGTTTACAGTAAACAAGAAAATTACAAAATAAAAATCAACAAAATATCAAAAAAAAAAGCAAAGAAACAAATCCTTTTTTCTATAAGGATATTACATTTTATGTCTGGTGGAAAGTTAAAAAAAATATAATAATAACATCATATATAATACGTTTAGTATAAGTTTAGATGAGAATGAAGAAATCACGACGTTAACAATTTAAAAGTGTTTGTTATTCAACTAGAATGAAAAGAGGCACGTGTCTAATAATTTTTTGGAAGATTACATGTGTACGTACATGTACGTAGGTACGTATAACACTTATATATTATATTTGCGTATGCGTATACTAATGCGTATACAAATTATGATAAAAATATTTTGCAATAAGAAGAGAATGAAAAAATAAAGAATTAATTATTTTGTTTCTTTTATATTTGAATAATTTTAGGCATGTTCCTACAGCAAACATCATAGAAGATTCTCGAATATCTATATAGTAAAATCATAATAATTTTACTAATTCTATTTAAAAATTCGTTAAAGTAACATTGCTCTTTATGTAACAATTTCACAATCTGTAAAACAGTTTAAAAAGATCTATAGAAACTCCAATTTCTCAAACATATAAAATAATCTCTAAATTGTATTGGACCTGTTAAATTTATTCAATCGCTTTACCGAAAATTTCCTAAGTGTTATTATTTGGATTTTTTTTTACTAAAACCCGCATTAAATTACTTTTGAATTGTAAACAATTAATTGGAATTTAAACTCATTACATAAAATTTAAAAACAATTTAACAGTTTATGAAAAATTTCGACCCGGGTTGATGAATTGACCTTGATGCCTATGGCGTAGTATAACTCTTACCACAAAATTCAAATGAAATTACGCATATTTCCATTAAAAAATATTTATTTAAAAATTATTTCAATTGAAATTGTTCTCATTCTATAAGTACCATGTCTTATTTCTATTATTCAATCATATTGAAATAAAATTTCACACTTAAAATTCATCTTGTTTATACAGAACAATGGTGTAGTGTCGTTGATTATTAAAGCAATACTAAAAACTCTGTGATGCCCGTACGAATTCGTTATCCTATGTGCGAATAACTAATGTGTCATAACTAACTATGGGGCAGACTATGACTTTAAGTTGCCGTATTACTATATTAATTTATGCAAAATTTCAGTACTATGTGTTTTTCAAAATACTGGTTGTGCCAAACTACTATTGAAGTTGTATGTTTTAGCGAATTTTATCAAGCACATCGGCCCTACTAATATATTCGTTTGTGTGAAATGTCAATACCACAACTTTTATAGTTTCTGAGATATAGCCAAATAAATTTTGAAGTTGTATGGCAGCTACCCGAAACGGTACCCCGATCACGTCCAATTTAAATATGGTTCTGGCACTTACTACAATAAATCATTTGTGAAAATTTGGTGAACTTAGCATTAGTTTTTGAGTTATCGTTCGGACGGACGGACAGACAAAGCTAAATCAACTCAGAATTTGACGCTGATCAAAAACATACACTTGAGTCTATATCTAAGACCGTTATTTCTTAGCGTTACAAACGGTAAGGCAAATTTAGTATACCCTTCGAACATACGTTCGTACGGGTATAATAAAGACCGAAAACATTATATTAATGAATGATTAAAAAACTATTAACAAAATACCAGCATATTGGCGCCGAAGATTAAAAAATAGTAATGACATCAACCGCAAGAAGATGGCTTTATCTTACCAAGTATAAACGATGATAACAAACAGATTAAGAATTTACAGTTCGGCAACGGCCATTTGAATGGAATGAAAAGAATAAACACAAGTTTTTTAAAAGCAACTCTCTACTTATATTCGCACACTCTCTTACTATTTATAATGTTCAAACTGAGCTTGTGAATTCATATTCCACAAAATTGAATACTTTACGCAAATTATATAATAAATGTCATGACAACCAACTTGTAACATTCAATAACATTAACAATAACAAAATATTTATTTCTCAGTTTTTGAATAATTTTATTTATTTTCCTATAATAAATTATTAAAGCAAAACTCATAGCACATACAATTACAGTTCATAGAATTAAAATAACAATTGATTTGATACTCTTGTTACTAGAAACCACCCCTCTTCTTTCCAAATACATATTATGCTACAAAAATTTTATTACTGAAAAATTTTTTTATTTGAAATTTTATTTAACATTATTTTATAATATAGCAGTAGCAACAGAACAAAAAAAAATACAAATATAAATGTACATAAAATACACCTACACACACACACATAACAAATTTCATTTATATTTCTTTATCATTCTGATATTTTTCAATATTATACCAGATCCAATTATAAAATGCACCAGTATATGTATATATTGATGGTTTTGATATTAATCCACATATTCTATAACCCCATGATACAATACCAATTTGTATAATAAATTTATTACCATTCAAATCATTACTCTCTTGTACTAATGGTCCACCTGAATCACCAAAACATGCAATACTTGGTTGATTAAAATTTCCAGTACAAATATTTGTTGAATGTAAACGTTTATTATTTGGTAATAATTTATGACATTTTTCATATGTCAAAAGATTTGTTGTTATCATTTGTAATATATTTGTACGATCTTTTCTTATACCATTCGTATTTATTTTTTTACTACCCCAACCATAAAGTGTTGCCATACTACCTAATGAATTTTGTTCATTCGTATTCGATAATTTTATTATTGATATTTTTTCATTTAATTCAAATGATTTTTCTAAAAATAATAATGCAATATCATTTGGACCACTATAATTCCATGTTGTAAAATTCTCATGACGTATATAAAATTTAACACGTCTCTTTTGTATCATACTATTATCATTAATTATATTTTTTATTATTTATATTGCAACTAATATTGTTATTATTACATTTGATATTATAATAATTATGAATATTGATTGAATTAACTAATATTTTATTTGTTTTTGAATTATAAATATTTTCTTTTACTATGCTATTATTACTGTTATTATAATTTTTTGTATCATTATAATAATAATAATTACTATTAGCAGGAGAATAAATATTATTATTATTATCATTATTATTATTATATTCTTGTAATTTATATAATCCAGCAATTGCATAAATATCAGTTAAATTATTCGATTTGAGACAATGAGCTGCTGTCAATATTACATTTTTTGTAATTATAGATCCACTACAACCATGTTTACTTTTATTTAAACCAACAGTATCATATGTACCACGTTGTAAGGATACTATAAATGGTGCAGCATTTAATTTGGCATCCGATCCGCCAATTATACGTATTGATGCGGTTGATACTGATAATGATGATTTTGATATTGATGGTAATATATTTGATGACGACGATAATTGTAAGGTTGATACCTTTGATAATAATGATGATGATGATAATGATTTTATTGATTGTTTTAAATTATTTTCAATTTGAATATTATTTTTTACTTGTTCTTTTAATAAATTCGATTCAATTGTTTTAAATTTTATTATTGGTAATTTTGTTTTTTTATTTTCTGTGAATAACGGTAAATTTTTAACAATATGGCTACCATTATTATTACTACTATTATTATTACTATTATTTTTATTATTATTATTATTTTGTTGATTTTTCTTATTATTATTATTATTATTATTATTGTTGTTATATTCGTTGTGATTTGTATTTAATTGTTGTGGAAATTTTAAAATTGTTGATATTTTTCTTGTTTTATTTAAATTCGATTGCAAAATCAATGATTCCAATAAAAATGGTAATGATACAACTGTAGATGATAATAATGATGTTGATGATGATATTGTTGATGGTACTGATGGTGCTAATGTTGATGTTGCTACTGATACTGATGATGATAATGATAATAAAGATGATGACAATAATTGTTGTATTTTCAATTGTCCTTCAATACAATTATTTGTATTTTTTTGTGTTGATATTAAAATTGAATTGTTTTTAAAAATTAATAAAAATAAAATTATAAAATGAAATAAAATTTGTGGAAAATTTTTTACGATAAAAAATCGTTGTGTACAGAATCGTTTCATAGTGAAAATTTTATTTTCAACTAAAATTCAAAAATTAAGTAATAATGTTTTTATATTGTATATGTGCGATAATATTTATTCAAATATATTTGTGTACAATCGGATGTATATATATATATGTACATATACGAATATATATAAATAGTTTATAAAATGTTTTTAAATTAAAAGCTTATCATTATTGTACTGTCGAAAATTAATTGCATATGCGGGCTGATTGTAAATACACTAGAGAAAAAACAATTTAAAAAACACCAAAAACAAAAAAATAAACAATTTATGAGTATAGTGTGTATTTTATAGGTACTGAAATTAAAATGAAGTGTTGTTGATCAGAACAAAATATAAAGAATGCAAACAAATGTCGTTTTTTTCTTTTGTTGTTTTCTTTTAAGTTAAATACAAAAATTTTATCGTTTACACAATAGTTCAACAAATATATTGCAAAATTATTTATTGTAAAAAATATATTTTATTTGAAAATATCATTAACACTGATATTGATTTTGTTATCGATATTTATAAAATTGCACCTATAAGTATGCAATATTTTTGAAAAACTTATTAGAATGATTTTAGAGTGCTAGCCTTTTGTATTTATTATAATTAAAAAAAAAATTAACATTTTTAATATCATCATATTGATATTGTTGTACATATTCATAAAACTGCACCTATAAGTATGCAATATTTTTGAAAAAAATTTTTAGAATGATTTTATAGTGGTAGCCTTTTGTATTTGCTATAATTATAACAATTAATTAATATAATAATAATATTATAACAAATAAAAAAATTAAAATTTAAAAATTTTTAATTTTTAATAAATTTTAAATTTTTCTTAATCAGACAGACAATAAAAATTTTTATAGTATATACGTCAAAATTTTTAATTTTTGAAATGAAAATTTTTATATAGAAATTTTTTTAATAAATGTGCAGGTGACAAACACTAATTTTCTAATTTTTCAAATTTCAATTTTCTATTAATGAATTAATATGGCGGTCTTTAAAATCAACATCATTAAATAACCTTCATTAAAATAACCTCAAAAGAAATTATTTGGAACAAGTTTAAATAAACACAAATAATGATAAACCAGACTGGTTTCATTTCATCATTTTATTTACTATTATAGTAAAATACTAAATTGTATAATGCATAAAATCAATTTTTATCAAGTTTTCTTCAAAGTTATAAAGTCTTAAATTAAAATATTTTTTTTTTAAATATTCATCTATAATTTAAAATTAAACTTAAAAAAATTATATTGAATTGATTTTACATAAAGTTAAATATTTTTCACTTATATATATGTACATATTAACGTGTATATAGTATAAGTATAAGTATTTGTAGATTTATATACAATTGTGAATCATAAATTTTAATTCTTTTAACACGTCACAATATATATTAAGTTCAACTATTTTATTATTCTTAAAAACATTAAAATAATTCTATAAAATTTTCCAAAGAATCTTCATTATTTCTCTCACTATATATGTACATTTTAAAATTGTTATTCTTGTGTACAGCGGAAATTCTTGGAAGTAATAAAAACGTTTTCAAACGAAAAAGTGTTTTTAACCATTTGAAATTTTTAAAATAAAATATTTTAATTTTTTTTTTTGGTGCAATTGCATTTTATTATTATTGCAAAAATTTGTTTGTTAAAGGAGTCCCAAAAAATTATAGTTAAAATGAAAATATTTAATAGTTCTTAAAAATAATTTTTATTTAACAACACTATATATAGATACCAAAATGATTGAACCATTAAAAAAAAACCTTCAAAATCTACAAAACTTACAACAACATTGTCTGTCATTAGAAATATTTGGTATATGGTACCAATGTCATACAAATAATTTTATTTAACAAGAAAATCATTACTATTTCCAAAAATAGAATCGAAATTATTTTTAAAAATAATTTCTTTTATGCAATAGTATTTTAATTCTTTTTAAGAATTTTAATTAAAATGCTTAAAATTTTTGAAAATGCACCAAATTCCTTCTGCTGACACCCGCTAATCCGGGTATGTTTTTCAATTTTTTAACTGAGTTTTAATATACATGTTATGTGTTATGTTACGTATGAGACGAATTTAACCAGCACCTCGACAATACAGGTCTTTTCTGTATCCCAGCGCCAGATCATTAGAACTCAAGATTAAAACTCTCGATAAATTTTAATAGGTTCGCCATGCACACTGAATTATGAGAATCCAAGTCCAAGGCCCCGAGAAATCTGTATCAAGAGCGGGCCAAGCCATTACACTCAAATAGGACATAACTGGAGTTCTCAGAGCCCCGGTCGCAGAATCTACATCGCTGCGTACTTTATCTGCCAATTTTTTTTAAAAATGAGTTAAAGGGCCCATGTCCAGTGACAAACCACGACAGAACCCTCACTGAAAAGCGTCTCCGTCTTACAATGTCAGGCAGCCACGACTTGTTCAAGACACCCCATATGATGGCCCACGCTTGGACCAGGTACGATGAAGGAGGCATTTGCCCCCAACTGCGCCAGGTGATCGGTCTCTTCATTTCCAGGTATTCCTGTATGGTCATAAGCCCACATAAGAGTGACTTTGTTATTCACACTCAGTTTTTCCAGATTGTGGAAGCAACTCGAAACTAACTTCAAAATAAAAGTTGATGATTTCAGTGCCGCCAAAGCAGCCTGGCTTTCGGAAACTATTAAGTTGGAAAATTTCCGCGAGCCGTCGTGCAACCATCGCATAGCACATGGCTCGATGGCGAAGACCTCCGCCTAAAAAACGGAGGGAGTTTCGCCCAAAGGCGCAAAGAACCTATAATTGCGGCCGTATACATCAGCACCCGGCACCCGGACGCCTGAGCCGGCAAGGAGACTATAACTCCCTTTCAGGTATTATTATCTGTAAGCTCCTCTCGCATTTAATCGTCTTGATTAAGAACTCCAATGCCTCCAGGAGCTCCCCATCCAACCCACTTCCTATATATTCTGAGAGCCTCAGTCTTGTAGCCTTGGCCGCAGAAACGCCACCAACAAGCAAATGTAAAGGAACATGTACCAGCATTCCCACAAGCGCTACCGTCGGCTAGGTCCTCAGGGCCGAGCGGCGCCCAGACAGGCCAACCTTTTTTATACCAGTGCTGGTATAAAAATTAAAATCGGAAATAAAAATACCAAATAAATTTAATTTACCATGTGTGAATGGATCTGGTAGAATTTGATACAAATTACCATTTATGCTCAGAAAACAGTGCCAAAACCTTTTTCACAGTCAGAATTCGATTCGATTAAAAAAACCTTTTTCTATATTGCTATAGGATGCTATGCTTTATTTGAAATATCTTTCCTACTTCCATATGTTTTCTTTAAGAATGCTCATGCATAGCCGGCTATGTTGGGTGTACGAATGTAGTATACTGATGTTTTGGATATCACACAAACGTTAATAATGCTGTACGAGTATCAAAATTTAATGGATTTCACCATGTTCAAATTATAAATGAAAACTATAAATTTTATTTAATTTTTTCTTATCTTTATAACTCAGTTAAAAGACAACTTTCCTTGAAAATCAGGAGACCTTTTAAAAAATTTTTATATTTAAATGCAATTCCTATTTTGTACGCCATTCGTTTGTCCTTCACAGTTTCTCCATAAAATTATCATTTTTCAACAGAAAGATCAAATAATTGATTAATAAATTATTCAATTTAAAAATAATTTCAATTTGTTCACATACCCATAATCAATAAAAAATCTTTCCTATTAAAAATAAATTCCTTTCCCATTAAAATTTCAATTGAATTTTGTTATCTTAAACTAACTTCAAATAAAAAACAACATTCAATAAAATATATGGTATTAAAGAATTAATTTTTTTTTATAAATAACAAAAAAAAAATTAAAATTCAATTTATTTTATTAATAATTTTTTTGCATTTCATTTGAATAAAATTGTGTAGAAAATTTAAATATCAGGTGAAGATTATTAAAAAAAAAGTATTGCAAAAATTGTAAAAAAATTTCTTAAAACTGTAATAGTATTTACATTCTATACATACAATACATATACATATAAACAATATTGCTGAAAAAAAGCAAAAAAAGCAGACAAACAAGAGGAAAAAATACATCAATTTCCGGTCCGGAAATATTGCAAATGCATCAATTTTTATTGTTTTCTTAATAATTTTACCTTTATACGCCCACCTTTTTTTCTTTATTATGTACCTACTCTATAAAATTTCAAATCAATAGACTGAATCAAATCTGAATTGATTAAATTAAATTATTCCATACTACTGAAATAGTAGAATGAAGGAAGAAATCGAATTTATCCTTATACGAGCATGCTTTTGAGATCGATTTGGAAAACGTTTACCATCTATAAAAGTTCAATTTTTTTTTTTTGATAAATTTTATAGTTTTATAGAAGATTGTGTAGAAAAGATTTTCATCTTTTTATTGGTAAATTTTTTTCTTAAACTTCCTTTTTTTATGCAAAGTACAGAGAATTTTAGGAAAGCATCTGGAAATGTGCAAACAAATAAATTATATTTTATATAGACAAAATATCAATTTTCATAAGAACATGAGTTACGATAAGCGCATACAAAGCGTCTTTTCATAAAATGAATTATAAATATGCAAATTTTTTGAAAATGCGACTAAAATAAGTTTAAATGAATAATTTTAAGAAAATTTTGAAAAACTCGCCTTTGGATCCAGGAAAGTTTCGACAATAAAATTTGAAAAATAAACACAAAAATTCGGGAATTATTAACAAAAGCTTTAATATGAAAATTGGAAAATATCCCCTGAATCCTAATTTGCACCTTTATTGTAATAATTTTTTTTTCAAATGTGAAGACTTAAGGGAGATATGTACGTTATTGAACGATTTCACAAAATCTAGACTTTCTATGAGACCGATTTTCAAACTTACTCTTTTGCAATACTGTTATGGGAGCTGTTAACACTTGTTTTCAATCGAGTTTCAAATCTATAATTCTTTTTGCTTCTAAAATTATTGTTTCAATATTATTATTGCTTCCAATCTTAGTATAAGAATAAATAAAATAAACCTATTCTCAGCCTCCCTTACTTGTAATCACAAATCAAATCAAAATTAATTTAAGCACATTCCTCCTAAAAATATGCAAATAATTTCATTCTTTTTCATTCAACAATCTTTGTAATTTTCACTAATTCTAGTTGAAAATTTTTTGTGCTAATATGTTTATTCATTTTCGAACGCGCATTGCAACTCCAAAAATATAGTTTTGTTAAAAAAATGTCTTTGAATCTATCATTCTCAATAAAAACAATTGAAAAATTCTGAAAGACCCGGTAAATATGCAAATTAGAAACAAATAAAAAAACATTTTTTTCACATTACCGATTGAATCGTCAAAAAAATGCATTTAAAAATATTAAATAGTCTAATAATATTACAAACACAATATATAAATATACACACACACATACATTCACACATACACTAAAAGAAAAATAAAAAATTTGAAGAATTATAATTTTCCTTCTTTTTCTTTTTCTTTTTACTATGCACGTTTATTTTCTCTCTTGCATTTTAGATAAGATAAAAAAAAGGATCTAAAAAGAAAAGTTACATACACATATACGTACACGGTATAATGATTAATGAATACATAAACAAAAAAGAAATTTTGACTAAAAAATCAAAATTAAAATGAATTGCTTTTGAATTTATGCAAATTGAAGCATCTTCAGTCATAAAATAACGAAATGAAAAAAAAAATTCTCTTTTTGTTTCCTGCCTCTATGTTCTTTAAAAGATGGTACACACATAAAGAGCATAAAATATACACAAATATCCTTATTGGAGTGACTCTATTGAATTTTTAATATTCTAATTTACCTAAGGATATACGTGCCAACCAAGTTTACCTCCAACCAACCCCCTCAAACAAGTCATACAAAATTTTTATTCGAATATTTTTTTTTTTTTTATTAAATTTTTTATGCTTATTTTAATTTTTGGGCATTTTCCTATAAAATTAAAATGTTCTCTCATTTTTTACTCCCCCATAGTCTCCATATTCTTCTAGCTGTATAGAATTTTATAAAATTTTTAAGTTTAGACAAGGCACGAAAATATTGAAAAGAAAACGAGGAGGTGAAGAGAATTTTTATTATGCACAGAGGTTGATTTTTATTTGAAATTCAACAAAAAAAAAAAAAAAATACGCAAATTATATGAAGAAGAGAACATAATTAGAATGTTCGTTTTTTCAAGGAATGGTTAAAAACAAAATGATGTAGAAAAATTATGGAATTTAGATTTGGACTGTTTAATTTTGTTCACACTAAAAAATTATATTTATGTATTTTTATATTTTTTTCTAAAAGAAATCAAAAAAAAAGAAAGATTTTTTTTATTCCTCTCTCTCTCTCTCTGCTTTAAGTGATTCCATTTTTTTAATTTTAAATTATGATTATTTTTTTTAAAGAGAACTATAGTGGTATGAATGAGGTGATAAATTGAAAACACTTTAAACAAAAGTGAGACTGAACAAAAAATTAAAAAAGTAAGAAAAAACGAAAAGCGCCTGCAGATATGCAAAATATTAAAATTCTTTGTTTTTCAATTTTATTAATCGTTTTTTTTCTTTTTCAACTCTTTTTGAGATTTATTTAAAAAAAAATTTTTATAATTATCTTTTTTTCATTCTTAATGAAGATTTTTGGTTTAAAAAATAGTTATAAGGAAGCAATATGTTCTTAAACACAATCCCACTATATTAAGTTTCGTTAGTAAAGAACCAAAAATAATATGACAATTAACATAATGCAGTTAAATGCTTAAATTTAAGACAATCATCAAAAATCTTAGGAACAGCTCCTAGACAGCGTATTTTGAAAAAAATTTTTCTTAGAACCATTCCTATTCTATTTGAAATTTTTTTTCTTGTTTTATAGTATATTTAATACCAGTCATGAGAGAGAAAGCAATAAATTATGAAAAATTATATTAAGTATATATTATGCTTTTTATAGCATTTAACAGAACCATAGTCAATTCAATTAATATGTATATAGTTATCTAAAAAATTTTAAATATTTCAGTCGATTAATTTTCACAAATAATGCCTTCAACTGAAAGAATCCCATACATAACTAGTATCGATTAGGATATTAGCAAAACAACTACAATTGAACATTGTAGAAAAATAATATGGCAAGAAAAATAGCATTGGTATTATTTAATAAAATTTTTCCGTACGTAATTAAACACTAAATCCTATATTTCAAATGAGTGTTGCTATGGTCGATTAGGCTGGAACGAAACACAAACTACATAATCTAATATCTGGTATACTATTTAATCTAATTAAAATTAAAATTTCGTCAAAATAATTATAGCTAAATTCATCAACAAGAATAACAAATTTATGTCACATTTCTTCTTGATTTGGGTTCAAGACCCCTATAAAAATCTGCCTTATCCACAAATCAATATTTATTTTAAGCACCAGAATATTTCAATACCGTTTTTATTTTTAATATTTTCACTACATCATTACATTTCTCTTATATTCACCTCAAAATCGAAGAAATTATTCTCCTCTCTTTTCTCCCTTAATAAAATATTCTATTTCTAAAAACCAGAAAGCGAATAAATGCCTTATATATACTAAAATAATTTAATTCATATAATTTTAATTTTAAATAATTTTGCAATAGATTTAAAAATAATATTCTTAATTATAAAAAAAAAAAAAAACAAAAAAAATTTTTATTACCTTGACTTTGAAATTTTTCCATTCTTACATTGCCATTCAAAATTTTTCACATTCAATTACAAATTTTCATAATGAAATATTTTGTGACTTCATAAAATAAAAGGATAACTTAACAGATATAAAAAAAAAAACAAAAAAAAAACAAAAAAAAAAATTAAAGGACAATTTTTTATCCTTTCTCTTTTGTATTTCTTTAACAAAACAAAAACTAAACGAAAATTGAAAGAAAAATATTTCCATTGTGTACAAATGGTTAGAGGCTAGAACGACCTATCCGGCTTCTTTGTTTGTATTTATAGAAAATAATGGTATGCAAACAATAAGAAAAAATATTTTATGTGCTAAATATGTTTGTATATGTTTGCATTTGACAGTAAAGACAAAATAACTGATTTTTATTTTTTTATTTTCGCTCCTGCTTCTTTTGTTTGATATTTTTGTTGGGTAATCTTTGGATGAATGAGAATCCATCATCAAGTCATTCGAGTGTAATGGATTTTTCTTATTATTTTTATCGTCATCATCATCAAATTTTTTTTTGATATTTTTTTTTTCTCATTTTTTTTTTTCCATTTTTGTGATTCTATTCTTCTATTAGAACATGAAAAATATGTGTGATCCTTTATTATACAATATATATATATACATATATGTATACGAGTATGTTTAAATAATTTTGTAATGCCATTCGTAAAAAAATTTACAATATTTGTGTTTGTATGTGAAATAAAGATTACCATAATATATGAAATTAATCTAGAGTAAATTTTAATTATAAGCAAAATTTCACTTGAGACACAGTTCTCGTGTAACAGCTAGTGGAGAGATATCAAACAAAATCCAATACTGTATACGTGAAACTGTGAACATGAATTGTGCAAATTGAAGCTCCTGTTTCAAAAAAAATTTCATTTTTTGCAATAACAGAAGAACATTTTCGAATGACACTTGAAAAATTGTACAGCCCACTGTTTCTTTTTTTTTTCAAATAATAGAGCTCGCATTCTAATAATTCCCGTGTATGTTACTGTGTCCAGGAAATAAAACAGACAATTTTCAATTCAAATCTTGCTTACGAGCTTTAAATGGACCCCAACGAATTTAACCACTGTCAATACTTACAAATAAACTGTAATACTAGCATTTTGTAGTAAATTCAAAATTTAATACATAAATATGTGTATGTGTATATATACAACTTAAAATTCAACTGGTAACTTTAAAACATAAATTGTTTTTTTTTTCCGGTATACTCATACTCGTAATACCATATGCAGCTAATATAATTTTTGACATGACATTTTTCATAAAGCTAAGAATCTGTGATATAATATCTAAAATTATACAAAAACAAAATTGTATACGTATAAAATAAAAGAGTATATATGAATATATGTAAATTAAGCATATAAAAATAAAAATCTATCAGATGGAAGAAAATTTTCTTAGAATTGAGTCCTTTTCTCGTATAGCCTCTCTTCCTCATCTCAATAAACGTCACGATATATTCTCTATATTCGAAATATATGTATTATAGTGACATATAGATTTTGTACATACACACATACTTATTTCCATATAAAAAAATTTTTTTCTTATTGTTCAAAATAAAAAAATAAAATAAAACAGAGAAAACCTTAAGGAAGAAAATTTCATTTTTATATATTAACATACATACATACATACTTGTATTATTATGTATGATATTTTGGAGCGAGTGTTTACTGAGATTCAATCATTTTCATCCCTTTTTCTCTCTTCTATTTCATTTTGTTTATTATATTTTTCCATTTCGTATTCTATACTTTAATATTTTATGTTATATCGTAATTTTTTTTTTAGTTTCTCTGTTCTCCTAATAACATTCTCTTCATCTCTCACACCTAACAGTTTCTTCTTAACTTTTTCACCGACTCTTTTTTTTGTTTTCTCATATGAGAGTAGAAGGTGCTAGTGCTATACAGCTACTATACTAAAAATATTGATTCAATTTTCAATCTCACTTGTTTAAAAATGTATGCATAATATTAAAAGCTAAATGGTGTATAGAGAAATGTGGTAAAGACTTTTAAAGGAAATCTTTTTTTAAAGCTTTTCATCATTGCGACCATTAGGTTCTCGCAAATATATATTACAAAAACATAATTTGTATATGAATATATATATGTATAATACTATAACGTTTTCCATTATGTAAAAGAAAATTTGCGGAATCTACATTCATGATATGCATGATAAATATATAAATATGTATTACATGTTATGTATGGTTGATTAAATATATGTATATAGTGGAATAAGTAGCAGAATTTTAAGCATAAAAGAAATAAGCAAAGCTATATTAAAATAAGAAAAAAAAAGACCTAAATAACTGGCAATGATTTCAATATTATAAAAAATGGATATGAAATTTTATCTTAGGTTTTATAGGTATGTAAAGATGATTTTTTTTTTGTATTATGTGTGTATTTTTACATATCATCCATATAGACCTTATAAGTATGTGAAGTATATAAAAAAATATATTAAAAGAAGATATTTTTACTTTTTCTTTCCAGGTTTTTTTTTGCCAGGGTTAGCAAAAATATATCATCCCCCTTAAAAATGTAACAACTCCAAAAAAAATCAGTTGGATTATACAACGTCGCATTCATACCAACATATTCTATACGCTGCCCCAATATTTTATGATTGTGTCAAATATTTAATAAGTAAACTTAAAGTTTTTCAAAACAAAAGATAAAAAATTATGATTTAAAAGAGCTTATAAATATTCATGGTCGAAGAAATGTGGGAAGAACAAAAGAGATTTCGAAAAGAAGTGTGCAGAAAGAAATAGAACGAACAGGCAAGATAAGCTGAAGAGACTTGCACAGAACAGAGAAAACTGGAGAGGCTTTGTTGAAGTCGTATGTTCCCTACGGGAATAACTAGGATATAAAATAAATAAATATTTTAATAGGACTTGCTCTCTTTATAAATAATTTTCTACATTATATGGTTTAGTTTACTTTTTAGCTAAATTTGTTGTTAAGTAATAGGAATGAGAAGGAAAACAAGATGTTTTAGAAGTTAATTAAAATTGCATATTTCTAGGGGCCCAAATTGACAAAATGCTTATTAACTTAATATTCTCAATAATATTAACAAAAGCTTTAAATTTAAATTTTCCTACACACACACATATGTAAATTTAAAAAAAAAAACCAAATGAGGGGTGAAATCATAAAATAATTCCAATAATATGCGATAAGAAAATTCTCTTCTCTCTTCGATAAAATTAAAAATAAAAAGGATAAAGATATTTCAGTAACCTAAAAAAAAAAACGAATAAGAGACCAAAATAAATTTAAAAAGAAAAATTTTATAAATTAACGGTTTAACTGAAATGAACTTATCTTTTATAGTCTGCACCTTCCTGAAGGGTATATTTACTTTGGTATAGAGTTTGTAACCACTTGAAAGAGTCGTCTCCGGTATAGAAATGTAAGTATATTCTTGCTCGGCGTAAAATTAGGCGTTGATTCAGACATGTAGGTCTATTCTATCTCATGATAACTATTGTAATTGAATCAATTCGGACAACGGGTTCGGGTAACTGTCAAAGAGGTTTTTCTAAAAATTTCAAAAGCTAATAGAAATATTAACAACAAATTTTCTAAAGATGTGTCCAATTACGTTTTACTTATATTCTAAACATTTTAATTTTAATGGCTACACCGTTTCGGGTAGCTACTATTATATTTGCAACAACTTATTGTAGGTAAAATTACACTTATCCCTATTTCGACAGGATAATAGAATCAACAATGTCAGCAAATTGTGTAAGCAAAAAAATCCGGCATGCTAAAAAAGTACTACCGCAGAATTTTGAAAATTAAATGATGCAAGAATCACGAAAGTAAACTTAAATTAATTCTTGTTCGTTGACACATGGCATTCTTAAAAAAATTACGAAAATATACTATTTTCTCATATACTCGTAGGTGGAGTTAAAAAATTAAGTAAAAGTGCTAATTACTAACAAAAAAAAAATATTTTTTCCCCCGATTTTTTTTATGAACCATTTTTAAAATTTGAAAATTTTTCTCTTTATTTCAATTTGATATAGATTTTTCCTTTAAATTCTTAATAATATTTTTTAATTGAATTTTCAAATTTATAATACTGTATTGTAAAATGTGTATATATATGTACCATTAAGTGGTCATTTATTCAAAAGACTAGAATATCTAATATTTTAAAAAAATTAAAAGTGACCTTTTCAAAAACAAACAAAAACAAAAAAGAGAACGAACAAATCCATTATCTTGAAATGTATAATATTCATTTATAATTGATGATAGAATATACATATACAAAATAGCTGTATATATATATACCATTAATTTTAAAATTCTATCTATATATTATAAGCATGTAACCGCACATTTTATATATATGTACATATGTGTGTATAGTAATTTGTATTAGCAGTAGATATACGAATTTTTCTTTCTTAAGTGCTTATTTTTAATGGAATTTATGTAAACTATTAATTATTATCATTCGAAATAAAAGCTTATATATATATATATATATACGCACTCATTTATAATAATGTATACAATGAAATCTAAAATTATTAATCTTGATTTTGGTTTTGTATATGTAATCAATAATAAATCAAATAATTAAATTAATTTTGATTTCAAAAATATTATATATTATATAAGAAGTTAAATCAAATTAAATTCCGTATTCGAAAATCAAGTATGTAATATTGTTATATAAAGTATAATAATACTTGAATAAAATTGAAAATGTAATATTAAATGACAACCTATATATATTTCAAATATTAATAATTGTTTACTGGTACATATACTAATATTATATACTAATAATATATATAATAATATATATTATATGTTATTGGTATAAAATATGTATAACATTTCTATTATTGTTATACAGAAATTTGTTTTAAATAACATTAATATTTTTACAAAATTGAAAACGAAAAACATTTGTTACAAAATCAAAATCCATTAATAATAAAATAAAATATAAAAGGAATCGCATACTGTATAAATATGTATATATATGGATATATATGTATGTATGCATAAACAATATAAATTATTGTAATTTTATAAGGTCAGATATTTGATTGTATAGTACAAATGCATTGTAACTATTTGGCAAAAACAATTTTTTGTAATTAATAATAAAACAATGAAAATTTTGAATAATTTTTTTTTCTTAATTGTGTTATAAAAATAAAATCTGAAAACAATTATACAATTTTCTGGGAAAAAATTTATATAATGACAATCATAAGTACTCAGTTTACCACTAATCCGGTACGCATATTACTTTTTCTAAATGTTGCATTTAAATTTTATTTTATTTTATTTCGAGGCAGTTTTTTATCTGCCAAACATAGGGGCACTTTGCATATTTTTTGATATAAACCTGTTCTGCGTTGTTATGCCTTCGAACTACCGAGCGCACATGTCCTTGTTGCCCCATAAACAGGGAGATGGGCTGATTGGTCAAAACTTTTTTCAGATAAAACATATATTTTGAAATTGTTAGGTTTCCTTTCTATCAAAGAAAACGGACTTGTTTACGAGTTTCTGGCACCGCACCTAATAGACCTTTGACAATAGCGAGTCGAAAAGTTTTCTAGTCCATTGTGCATCCGCCACATTTAAATTTATATATAAAATGGGAATTCACTACACAGATTTCAACAACATCCTAAAATGTATTGTGCCACTTCAATTAAATATCTACCTGCGACAAACACGTCAAGCAAGTTAAGCAAGTACATTTATACTAAAATTTTACTTAATATCAATATACTTGTAATTTATAGATTTAAATTAATGTTGATAACCTATAATTCCAATTTTCATTTTCATTTTAATTAAACTTAAAATTTAATTATATAAGCAAATACATAGAAATTCATAAAAATGAATTATATAATGACTGTAAGCATAATCATAAATTATTACTATTACTAGATATTATGTATTAATATATGTTGCCGAAATAATTAATGTTTCATTAATTAAAATGATTTATTACAATAAAATGAATTTTATTTAATAAAATTTTGTATAATTCTCTATAAATCAAAAATTATTATGTATATATGTAGGTACATTATTTAATCAAAGATTTAAAGTAATCTTTGATACATAAACCAAACAAAAACCCTGCTATATTAGTGAAATTCTGGAAATTTATTAAAGTTAATTACAAATTAAAAATTTCCTGTAGACAATTATTAATTCGATTTTAATATTTTTTTCATATGTATTTATAAAATCATTTATAATATGGCTGATATTACATTTAATTAAATCAATTGTATGTACATATATACATATATTTTTAAGAACAGTATAATGCGCGCCTCTTGAAATATCATTCAAAATAAAATTCGATTTCTTTTCACAACAAACAATCAATTCAATTTCTGAATATTTAATATTAAAAAAAAAAAACCAGAAAAATAGAGTTGATCATGTTAACTCCATGATATTCATAGGAACTTGTTATCCTATTGGTAAATTTATAACACTCTTCCAAAAATACGTTCGCATAGAATTAATAGTTACTGTTTTACCATATTAATTTTAGTAAAGTATGACCAAATAGATATTGAAGTTGTACAACAGCTTTCGCAAGAAGTCAAGAAATTTCTGTGATTTTTATAACATATAATAGCTCTAATATTATATTTGCTTTTGTAAAATTTCGATATTATAGCTTCAATAATTTCTGAGATATGATTTTGATTTGTATCCAATTCCGACATTTACTATTACAGCTCATTTATGAAATTTAAGCTCAAATAATTTGTGGATTATCGTTCGGGGCGAACGGGCAGACGAACACGCTTGTGTAAATCCATTCAGAACTCAATGCTAATCAAAAACGTACACTTGTGTATATCTATAACTTAGTCATTTATTTCTTAGCGTAAGAAACAGTAAGGCAAATTTATAATACCCTTCGAACATACGCTGATACGGTTATAAAAACAAGCAAATAAGAAAAATTTCATTTTCTCACATTTTTTATTTTTGCAATTTATTTTTAATAAAAAATTCTCAATACAGAAATTTTTTCCGCAGAATTTTTACAAGAGTATTTTTTTTTTTTTGCTTTTTTTAATTCATATTATTACCAAGAAACAACATTTAAGTCAAGAAACTCAGAAAAAAAAGAGATAACAGTGAAAAGAATAAAATTTAAAAAATAATACACCTACGTACATATATTATCGAAAAAATAAACGCGTCAAAGAAACTACAAAGCTGCAATAAACAACAGTTCCTATAAAAACAAAAATAATAAAAAAATTTTTAATTTTTTTACTTTTTCCATTGCTGTTAGATTTTTGTTCGCAAAATTTTCGTATAACAATAACAAATATATTAACCATGTACTAAAAGAATCTATTGTGCTTCCTTCTTCTCTAAATTTCTTTGAGACCCAACTTTCTAATAAATAAGATAAACTTTCGGGCGGAGTGAATTTCTCGAAAAAAATCCTATTTTTTCACAAAAAAATTTTACTTACAATACCTGCATCGCCTGCCCACCCGCCCGCTCGTATCTTTTTAAGATATTAGCTAGATAGGTATTAACCGAGAAATCCTGAAACTACGAGTTTTTGTTAAATACTTATTGTATTAATTTGCTTTTCTTCTTAAGTAAACAGAAGTCGCTATAATCACCGAAAATGATAGCTCGATTTTCTTTCACAATAACTCATTTTTTTTAGGGGTAACCTCATTTTTACATTTTTAAATGAATACGCTTTTATTTTAAACTATAAATGACAGGAGAGGCTTCTTGTCATCCTATATTCATTTAGTTTCACGGGAATGTTCTAGTTGGCAATCATTACTTTGATATTTTCAACTTGCGTTCTCACTCCTTATCTGTGATCCCTATTCAAAAATTTTACATTGACTACCGTATCTCCGTATGGATCTACCGTGAAAAAATCTGTGTATACTTTTACTTAACAAGTAAATTTGTATTCAATATCAATTCAAAAATGGAAAACAAATTATCAAAAACTAAAAGAATAAAAAAAATATAAGTATTTTCACATTTAATAATAAAAAAAATTAAGTAAAAGTTAAAAGAAAAATATTTATTAAAAAAAATCAATCTCTTATCCTCCTCCATCTTTTCGAACAAAAAAACAAACTTAGTTAAATAAAAATTAAATATAAAAAGTGTTATATTTTAGAATAAGAGCAGGGTACAAGAAAATATGAATTGATATGCAAAGGAGTTCCCTATATACTCGATTTATAAATTTTTATATTTAACTTTTGGGAGAAAAAGTAATTTTAGATAACAGAAAACTTTCAATCCCTCCCTTATTAAAAAGTTAGTTTGGATATAGTAAAAATTTTCTTTGTCATTAATTTTTTAACAATTTTATTGGAAAATTTCATTTTTTATTCAAAAAATACACTTTTTTACATGTAATTGTATGTGTTTCTGAAATAAATATTTAGTACCACAGTGCACTTAGAAAAATTAAGGTGAATTCCTTAAAATATAAGAAAAACACTTTTAAAATACCTCAATGATTGAATTCAACAATTCAAAAAAGTTATTCTCTAAGTAGTACTATTAAAAAAAAATTCGTTCAACGCGGGCGCACTAAAAAAAGAAATTGATTTAAGTACAATGGCAGATAAGAAGAGACACGCTGAGAAGAATTAGAGAGGAGGGTAGAATTAGCGAAAATTACATATTATTGCTATAAAATATTCAATCTATTTTCAAAGTTTATTTAAGATAATATGATTAATTTGCAAAAATATCTTATAGTACAGAGGAAATACATCTGCTCAATTCGTTTTATACCACTTGAAAATCAATTGATTTTCATACATCGGATGAGTTGGAGAGAGCTTCTTTACAACAAATATCGTGCTATCCTACCCCCTGATAATCAAATTTATTATTAAAATTTATTCATTTAAAATTTAATTGGCGTACCCCTTGATATTATATTTGAAATTTAATTGACTTAAGATTATCCTGTCAAATAAAACTAATTTGTAGTATAGTTTAAATAATTACTTTATATTTTTTTTTTTTGGGGAATTTTTAATATTATAATGTAGGCCCCAAAGGATATTCCAAATAATTTAATGACAGCACCAAGTATGCATAAATACCATCTCTCAATACAACCCTATACTATATACATATATGTATTGAAAATTCTCATACTTTATTACTGTACATTTTATATTTTCTCACACCTTATATAAATTTTTGATTTATACTCTCCGATTTATATATAAATTTAAGTAAATTTTAAAGTATGTACGATAAATGCAAATGAAAAAATGAAAAAATAAAAAAAAAAAAAATTAAAATAAATTTTACAGAATAAATTTGCTTTTGAAAAAATGTTTTATATTTTAAGTAACAAAACGCATTTAGTTTATGAATCTTAAATTTATTTTTTCGTAAACTTGTGAAAACTCGTAATAAAATATACAGAAAATAATTCTGTATATATAATTTTATTACCTTATATAAACATACATACAACATTTCGATGGTGTAGTGCAAAGATATGCTAAGTAACCAATTTAAAATTTTACAAAGGAGCGTTCTGATAGTTCCTTGAAAATTTACGTAAAGAACCCAGTTAATTAAAATACCGCTACATAATTTATAAAGTCATTGAACTTAATAATGGCTAATAGTGTTAAGATTCCTAATACCAATAGATTTACTTAGAAAATTTGTGTTTCATCATCATAATACGTTTTTGTAATAAAAACATTCTAAATAAGCATTTATTCTTTTTTTGTTATATTTTGACCTTGCACTTAACCTATGTATTTCAATCACACCGATCTCGCAAACTTATACACGCACAGCACTGAAATTTATACCTCAAAAAGACGACCGTTTGAAATTTGTATTGGTGCAAAAAAAATATATTTTCAAAAATTTGTTTTTTAGCATATCTTTGCACTTCACTTTCCGAAATACAGAGCGTTTCGCATAAGGTGACAAAATATTTTAAGGGATGATTAATCAAAGAATTCTTTGAGCAATTTCCAGCAAAAAATTTGCAACGTTCAAAATTCCTCAGAGAAGGAATGCAAGTATACTCGTTTTCGAGTTACAGCCTGTTGACTATTGAAGGCTTGTTTTACACGTTCAGATCGATTGTTCTTTATTTTCGATCTTACAATTAATTAGATTTGAGCCATAGTTATCGAAATAATTCGGTCAAAATTAAAATTTTTTTTATTTGCGCTATAAAAAGAGTAAAAAGTTACATTTTCCTCTATCTTTCATAGTTTTGCCAGTAAGACCTATTATATACCCTGGACCCATTTGAGGGGGTCCATCCATTTTTTTTCTGGAAACTAATCAAAAAATCATTCCTGAAATTATTTCCCACCTTATTGAAGCACCTTGTACATTCAGTATTGTACATTAATAAATAAGTAATAGTCGTAAGGTATGACGTCGTTCTTTTTATGAATTTAAAATGAAAAAACAAAATATTAAAAAAAAAAATGAAATAAAATTAAATTTGTGCAACATTTGTAAAATATATTTAAAGTTTTTATTACGTACAAATATATACACATACTCATACATGATACATAAATAAAGAAATATAAAAAAATTCTTTTAAATATTCAAAAAGTATTTGCAAGTTAATATAACGCTGTTTTTTTTACCTTTAATGTTTTTTTTTTAAACTTTTTATAAATTTATAACTAAAATCTTTTGAGTTTGAAAACTTCCCAAAAAATGAGTAATTGGAACAAAAAAAAAATTGTATATACGTTACCTTTGGCATGAATAATTCATAGAAAATTCCAAAAATAATTCCAAATATAGTTTTAAAACAACAAAAATTTGAAAGCTTCATAAATAATGTTCAGAAATAAAAATATTTTTTTTTTATGCAAAAACTATAAAGCGTGTAGAAGTTTAAAATTTGATTAAAATAAAAATTAATTAAAAGAAAAATTGGATAATAATAAAGCAAATTAGTGAGTTCTGTCGTCGACATTTTTAAAACATATGTGTACTTAGCATGAGAATGCACCAAAACCTTAAAAATCTAATACCCGCTCAGTCGGTCGAGCGTCCGCCTAGGAAACCAGTTCGAAGAGAAAAAATATTTTTAATTTTTCTAACTTTACCGTATACAGCAATATGAAAAACAATTTGCAAGTAAATTCTTCATATATCTTTACCTCATTGGGTGGAGCGTCTGCCTAAAAAGTCGTAGGGTTACAATCTACTTCGAGGAGAAAAATAATTTCAATTAAGATCACCCCACCTTCCGAAGTACCCTTTACAAATCCTACATAATTCACGCTAGTTTTTATTATAATTCACTCTTAGTCGTAACTTCCAATATAACTGTTTTTATGAAATTAAATATTGTATAACAATGCTATCCTGGCAATAAAATGTTCTCATTTAGGTAACAATCAAGTGTAATCAGAGAAAAGTAAAAAATTCAATGTGAAATCAACTTCAAACTAAAAAAATTAATAAAAAGTTTCATTTTTGTTTAAAACTTTTAAATTAAAAATTCAATAATTTTTTTTCACATTATTATCGAGTATCCTTATAAATCTAGTCATAAAAAATAATAATTTCAGGAAACTTAATGTCAAATAATTTCAATTTCCAATATGTTTTTTACAATAAATTGAAAATTAAATTGAATTGATAAAAAACACAATTTTTACAACCAAAATGCTGAAACAAGTGAAAAAATGAGAAAAAAAATTAGAAAAAAACGTAAAAATCTGAAACTTTGTTTTTCATCTTTGACTAAACCATTACGGAAAAATATATCAGAAGATGCAAATACTAAAAATAATGGAAACTCTTTTATAGAAGATGAAAATCATTTGACTAAAACAGTTAATGAATATGTTGAAAACCATGGTTTAGTTGGTATAAAGACAATATTAAATAAACCAGAAAATTTTAAAAAATTTACACAAAATCAACGTGAAATCATAAATGAAAATTGTAAAATAATATCAGATTCAGCAGAAAGAACAGTACAAAAATTCTTTAGAGGAAACCAGGAAGAGCATAACGTTTATTCCCTGACTAATATTTTAAAAGATGCACCAAAATCTTCAAGAAATACAAAGAGAAAAATTCATGATTCAAAAAATCCACTGTCATTTAAAACAGCTAATATTTCATTAAAATTGAAAAAATTTTATAAAGCAGTTGACAAACAAAAAAGGAATGCTGCGAAAAAAATTCAAAGTTCCTACAGTAAGATTGAGGAGAAATCAAAATGTATTATTGATGAACTTAGAATTGATGAAAATCTGAATGAAGATCATGGTAAAAATATTATCTGTGAAAAATTTTTTAAATCAATCTCTGATAATTCTATTCAAGAACATAAAAATCGATCTTTAAATTTAAGTCTGTTAGATATCGTAAGAGGCGACCAAAATTTGAATCACAATGATTCGACATTAATGCATTCTATTAATAATATAGAAAATTTATCAACTAATATTTTACAAGAACAATCATTTCTAATTGAAAAACAAAATGACTCAATTGAATATTCAAAATTAATAAATGAAATAAGTGGGAATTGTTATGAGGCAAAAGAAAATGACTTAATGAATTCTGAAAATTTGGGTATAGACAAAATTATAACAGAGCCTCTAAAGTTAATTTGTTCTCCATTACCCGAAATGCCGAAAAATCCAAAACAAGTAGTAAAATTACAGGAGCATGACACATGCAAAAATAATACGAGCCACGTAACAAATGAAGATCATTCAATTATTTTTAAGAATTTAGATGTTCTTCCCCATAAACACTTAGTTATGAACTTTAATAATAAAATTGAAGATTATTATGAACAACTTTATGTTAAACATTTTAAGGAGAACACATCATTAGAGCTACTACGTGATATGAAAAATGAAACTAAAGAATTATTTAAAAATGCTTATGAAAATTTTGAGGAGTCAAATGAAATTTGTGAAGAAATTATCGAAATTTATAAAACGATTAAATTGAAAATAAATCAATTAAAAACTATTAGTGAACAAAGTATAAATTTAATTAATCAGGCAATTTGTATAATAAAAGCAATAATTGAATTATTTGAACAGAAACCAAATAGTAAAAATGATGAATTCATAAAATTTAATAATAATTTAAAAATTTATTCTGAAAATATAAAAGAGGAAATCTGGAAAGAATTTTTAAAAGATTTATTAGAAAAATTTTCATCTGTCATTGAACAAAATTGTACTTGAATAAATTTTGTGTTGCTTAAGTATTTTAAAATTATTTTTACAGAAATTAGTAAGAATTTTAGTATTAGGAATCTATTCCAACATGCTGAACTTAGCAATAAATACTAAGATATTCATATTTTACAATTTCTTTCCAAAATACTCCGAATCGTATTCAGTGTGTGTGTGTGTCAAACCAATAAATTATTTAACATTTATATCAGTAATTTGTATTTATTGGAATTTTAATGCCAAACAAATTTGAAAATTTGCGATTTTTACATGTGCCTTTGATAACAATTTTGACGGATTTACTAGATTCCACATAAGAACGTCTAAATGACATAAGAACATTCCTTATCAATGAAAACTTTTTTGATGTTCCGTATGTTGCGAAGCATTTGTATGTGTCCTTTGTTAAGTCAATTCTTGAGTATGCTTTTCATGTTTGGGCGCCCTTTCGTGTTGTAGATATTTCTCGTATTGAATTTTTTCAAAAGAAATTTTTGCGTTTTGCTGTGAGGGATTTGTGCTGGCCTGATCCTTTTAGATTGCCTTCGTATAAAGCTAGATTGATGTTGATCGATTTGCAGTCTTTGAGAGCGCATAGGGTTAGTATACTAGGTATGTATAACAAATTTTTGCACTTTACCAAATTCTTATAATATTAAAAATCTTATTTACAATTCTAATAGCACTTGCACACTATTTTTATTAAAATATTATTTTAATTATTATGTTGTATAACTCATATTTAATTGTTCAAATTTTTCAATTTAAAAATGACAAGGAAAACAACAACAACAACAACAACAGGGAGAGAAAAATCAATTGTCAAAATATCATTTAAAAAAATTTCATATTTTCCCACCAAAACAAAATATAAAATTCAATTATATTGTTTAACATGCGACATGATTGACAGATGACTTATTTGAAATATTACAAAAAATTAAGCAATGAAATTTTTTCATAAAAAAAGTAAGTATACAAAAAACAAAAACATTTAGAAAAAATCTGATGTGGTCAGCATGTAACCGATCGCAATATCAATTGTCTAGTTTACGGAAAGGATTACAAAAGATTATGAAACTGTATTTTAAACATTTCTTTCCAATTTTAAAGTTTAGAGTTTCGCTTTGTCCGTCTGAATTCTCTGAAAAGTTCCGCAGTTAATTTCGGTAGCAAACAGAATTGAAATACTAAATTTCAAGAAATTTCCCCAATTAGTTACGTAGATAGAGTAAAAAATGTAAAATCGGCCTCTGTAGTTTCCGACCCATGATTTTTCCAAAAAAAATATGGGCTCATTATTTTAACACTTTCTATGTTATTTCTCTTTATCTGGACAAAAATCTAAAATCGCCCGGGAAAAGGTTTCAGATCTCAAATCCTAATAAATTTCAAAAATTTATCAATCTGTGACATAGGCAAAATAAATCCAAATATAAAATTGAGATACACGCGTGCCCACATAGATCAGTAGGTAAACACATCCACACACTGACATCTCACTAAAAATAGTTTATTTACGGTTACGTACCATGGAGAATTCCATTTCCACCCTAAACTCGATACACCAAATTTGTTACTTTCACATACCCTCCCTTATTGTATGCAATGCGGTCGGTAAAAAAAGCAATAAAATTATCTGTTTTTCTCTTGACAGTTTTTTTGAACTTGAACTACCAGCTATGAAAGAATAAATCAATAACTAAATATCTAAAACAAATATTATTTAACTTTATTTGAATTATTCCAGGTCCAATTTAGTAATTTGACTAACAGGATATATTTTTAGGTTATTGGATAAAAACGATATATTTTTTAGGTTATTTACGATTCCTCTTAAATCTAACCAGTTTCAATTAAAAATCAAAAATCTTCATGACGCTTCCTGGACTTGTAAAATACGGGATGATTTTCTTGTTGTTTAGGTTTTATTTCTTATAGTTAAGACCTTATTCGCTACAGTTGCCGGTTTTGAATCATTTTAGTATGATTAATCATTTCAATGTTAAAAAGGACTGACGCCCGAGCAGCAGTACAATCATTTTGATTTGTCTGCCAAGATGGTGTGATTTACAAAATTTCGGCTAC